GTATAGCATTGTGAGGATTTATCAAAATAAATTTTGCCCACAGTGGAATTGTACTCTACTCTACTCTACCATAGTACACAAGTTATATTCTTATATGAACCAACCAACAACCTATGGCCGAAGGCAGATGGAGATAGATGGATTGAACACGGTGAGAGAACCTCTGATTAACATCACTCCCTAAGCAGGCCCCAGAGTCCAACCCGAGTGAAAAACGACGAGTTCATTGTGGGTCCAAGGGTGACGTGGAGAAGAGCGTGTGATCTGGAGAACATGGAAGCCTTTTTGGGCAATCGTGGAGCCATACGAAAAGGATCTAGAGGTTTGCTGTTGAAGTTCTTCGATTCCACTCGGTACAGGAGGAAATAATAATACTACTAATAATAGTAATAATACCAGATAAAACCGTCTCGGCCACTGTTGTGTGATGAATCCATACTCTTCTTATGCCGCAAATCATATGGACTGTACTCAGCATTTGGTTTTTAAAATTGGTAGCTCAAGTATGCGAACATACGTGAGGTCGCAAATGAAAAGAGAAGAATATCGATGTGTTTTTCCTTTTACAGCATTGAATGCATTCTCGTCATATGATTCGTCCAAAAAAGAAGAAGAAAAACATTTAAAACTACAAAAACAACTTTGATGCTACGCTGTCCTCTGGTAGATACACAGAAAAAAATGATAACTATGTTGTTTTTGATGCCACTTTTTAACAAGTAACATCATTATGCTTTGTTGATGTTAGCTGTTATTAATTGTAGGCTGTGAATGTGATTAGGCACACACACATACACGTGTAACGTGTTGTTTTGTGTGCCCTCTATGCAAAACTGTATATTCGCGCTTGTCTGCCTCTCTATTCTGATGTTTTTATCGTGGTTATTTTTGTTCAAAGGAATGTTTATTAACACTAAGTGTGCACAAAAAAGTGGTATATATTTTGATGTATTTAATAAGTGTAGAGATCAGTTGTGTTTTTGAAATGCTGAATGAAACACGGGGCTTCATCTGCTACACATTGTCATTTCGTTCAGTTTTTGGTAGTCTTTCTTAGCTGGCTTTACAGTTGCCCAAAAAACTTATTTCTACCTGGACACAATCTCCTTCATGTCACCGTCTGACTCACGTTAAAACTCGTTGTTTTCTACTAGGGTTCTACTGTGGGAGTATACCTGGGGTGTGATGTCAATCAACGATCTCTTCAGTATATGTCCAGGCTATCCCTATTTCATTCGGCGTATTTGTAGAAGTTCCGTGTAGTTCATGCTTTCCTATGTGTCATTTGATATTTAGTGAGACGAGTGAAGTAGTTAAGTGTTGATGAAAGTCTCTGGCGGACTGTTGACGTCAGTGTTGAAGCCCCAGATCTTGTTCCTTATACTGACTGTAGTAGATTTACACATTAATTTCAGAACAATGAAGGTTTGTCTTGCTTTCTTGATCCTGGTTGGCTTCCTGACTAGTTGGGGTCCTTGGAACGGTGAAATCCAATGTTTGGAAACTATTGGTGACATGGCTCAAAATCGTTTTCAATGGCTGTTGCAAATCTATCCACTCCTTTCCAATGAAACTATAATGTTCTTCGTTACTTCTTTTCTTTTTGTCTCATATCCTTGTCTACTATCTCTACATTATGCATTTCTTCCACCTTCTTCTCTTGCTTTGTATGCTATCTAGAGTGTGGGGACTTGAACTGCTGCACATCAGTGTAAAGACAGTGTAAACAGACAGATAGACAGTTGGAGACTTTTAGTGTCATGATTCAAAATCGTTCTCAGTAGCGTGGATGAACCCACTCTTTTTACAGTCTTCCATATCTATCTCAGTCTCACCAGTTTTTCCATGTTAATATTCTTAATTTCTGCTGTGTATATTTCAGTTCATTATTAGGTCGTCTAAATCTCTTCTCTCTCTCTCTCTATTTTTGTGTGCTACATGAAGAGATTGTTGAATAGAATTCCGTGTTGAAACTCACTCATTCATTCAGTAGATCAGTCTAGGCAGAATTCATGATATTACATTTGTAATTAATAGTGTTCTCTGAGTTGGTTGGTTTTAGTGGCGGAGCTTTCGTCGTCCCCCTTCTAGACAACATCCCGCGTCAGCGCAATTTCTAGCATAAAGTGAAATGATTTAAATTTCTTCATGAGTGATGTAATTGCGTGGGCGTGTCCCTTCGAATTAGAATCCAAGAACACAAATCAACCGTAAAAGGACACGATATATATATTCTTTAGTATCAATGCATATAGACAATTACGGACATCAATTTGATTGGGATAATGTCGAAATCTCAGACAGAGGAAATACTAAAAGTGCCAGGGAATTCCTAGATGCCCGGTACTCAAACAAATATGCAGTTAACAAACACGTTTATTATTATTGCTCCCTTGGGTTCCTAGTGGAATATAGGGCTTCACCTGCACATCTCCACTTGCTTCTGTCTTCTGCTGTACCTTTCACATGCATCCATGTTAGTCCGTACTCTTTCAGCTCCTCTTCACACGATCTCCTCCATGTCACCCTTGCACTGATGACCCACTCGCCGCTTCCCTTTCGGACTGGGTTCCACTCGAGCAATGGCCTGATGGGAGTGGGATGTCATCCTGCGGCCTCTTCAGCGAGTTTCAAATCCATCTCCACTTTCTCCTGCATATTTGTTGGGCGAGCGATTGGTTCTTGTTTTGTTTGTTTGTTCCCAGCCATAGTCTCTTGTTGGTGATTCTTTCCGACCCGGCCATCTGATCTTCAGTATAGAGCCAGCGAAGACAGTTGTTGGTTGATAAAGGTTTGCAACAGGCTGTTGGAAATATTCTTTGTGACCCGCCCGCCAAGTTTCTGATCCGTATTGAAGAGCTGACCAACTTGACGTTTGTATTGGAAATCCGACTGAATTTTGTTGTTGATGCTGGCTGAGTGATGTGATGCTGATTTCCAGATTGGTTGTTTCAGGTTGATGAATGTGTTTCTCGCCTTCCCGATTCTCGCTGGATTTGACATCCTCGTTCGTTCCGACTGCGTGTAGTTGAGACAATGCTCCTTATAAAAGTGAATGAAGTAACCTCTTTCAAATCCCTCCCGTTGATGGTTAATAGATCTATAGACGTTATTATAGACGAAATATACCAACTAATAAAAAGTAAATCAGGTGACCATAAAGTTTAAAATTCAAGTCAATAGAAAATGATCAATACATGTGTAAAGATGGTTACCGGGAGACACAATTATATCACTTATGAAGAAATTTAAATCATTTCACTTTATGCTAAATATTGCGCTGAGGGGGATGTTGTCCAGAAGGGGGACGACGAAAGCTCCGCAACTAAACCAACCAGCTCAGAGAACAACACTATTAATTGCAGATCATCCACCTGAGCTACAAATCTTCTCTATTATGGTATTACATTTTTGTAAATGGTGGTTGGTTAGGTCATAATTTATATATTTGGAATATTTTTAGTATCGAATTTAAATCAATTTGCTTATTTCGACAAATTAGTTTTATGACGACAATAAATCAGTGCATATATTGATGGTGTGATGCTTGCAGTTGGTGAACCGCTTGAAGTTGTCGATTATTTCGTGTATCTGGCTAGTTGTGTAATTGGTTGCGGAAGTGTGGAGGACGAGATTTCCAATCGTATCAGGTCAGCTTGAGCCACCTTTGGAGCCATTGTGACTTTAGCCTGGCTGTTAAAGATCAGATTTACAATGCGTTGATGTGAGGTGTTTTGTTCTACGCCTGCGAAACCTGGCTTTTTCGAGCTGAGGATATACGGTGACTTTGCGTATTCGATCATCACTGTCTCTGTAGAATTGCTTGCGTCCAATAGTATCATCATGTGAGTAACTTTGAGGTCCGATGGCGTGTGTTCAGACACAGCGGAGATCATTATCCTTGAGTGTTGTCGTCTGGAAACACCGGTTCCGATGACTTGGGTATGTGCTACGAATGTCACCTCAGAGGCTTCCGTACCGGTCTCTGTTCGTTAACTCTGGGAGTGGATGCAAAAAACTTAGAGGTTGTCGTCAGCCTATGACGTGACGTCGTAGGATGAAGGATAATTGTGGTAGGTTAACATCGTTTGGTGCGTCATGACTCCCTGGTTGTGGTCTGACAGACAACTCAAATCGGTGGCTTGAAACATTATCGGAAATAGCCAAGAATCGTGATCGTCAATGGCAAACGTGCTGCATTTTCTTCCTCTATTTCATTTCTGAAAATAATTCGAAGAATGCTGTTTGGTCTTGTGAAATATAGATGCCTTCTTCTTAGATGAAATCTTTTATTCATTTTCTACCTATTTTTATTTTTACATGTTGTTTTATTATTGTGTGATACATCTTGGTGGCATATCGTACCAAGTTTTACGTTATAAATGAAAAAATAAAGTGTGATGCTAGCTTAAATTTTCGCGTTTTATGTGGGCGGATCCAGGCTAGCATAAGATGAAATCCAGTTATGCTCTTCATAGCCTCTACTGTGTAAGTCTCATTCACCACTGTCTTCACGCCAACAGCTGTTCCTCACAAAAGTGAAAGGTCGAATATGAACTTATAGAGCTTAAAGCATGACTGGTGGACATCCAGGTCTATCAAGGGAAGCTGGAAAATCCTGATTCCGAACATATAGCGTACATGGCCTCCAAAATACAAAAGGATCAAATGGCGAATGAACCTGTTTCGGTCACCGGAAACCATGAGAAAGAAGCAGCATGTGAAGCTACCGCACACTGCTTCGCAAGTGAAACTTCTTGTCAACAGGTCGGAGGGATGGGGTTGGCTGTCTCAGACAACCACCTCCTGTTTGGTCATATATAGGCAGTATTCCAGCTTTCGAACAAACTATGAGATTTCTTCTGGTGCATATCTTAATGCTCATAATGCGCCAAGTTTGTTTTTTTATAGTTATAATAATAATAATTCTTATGCTCTTATTATGCAATACTCAAAACCCCTCCCCTCCCGTGATGTTTTCATTTCCGCCAAAACAACAGGCACGGAGAATCCAGCCGATCCTGATGAACGAGCTGAGGTGGCAATCAATCCAAAAACAGGTGGAAGTTACGCCGTTGTTCAAAGATGGATTCATAATATGGATGTGATTAGAACGGCAAAAGGTAAGCAGGAAGCGTTTATCACAGATGTCATTGAAGTTGACGAATTTCGATTGGTTGGAGGATTTCATCGTGAGATGACATCAGTCAGAGGACTATTGGAAAACCTGTAGGGAGTACTGGACAGCTGTTTCGTCCCGATGAAGAGTCCCAAACTAGGACGAAACAACTGGCTACTCAGTACTCCCTGCAGTTTTTCCAATGGTTTTTTAACTGATGTTAACTCATGATTAAATTCTCCAACCAACCGATCAAACTAAATTCCTACAAAAACCAATACTTGACGAATTTTATTTAAGCTAAAAGTTTGTGATTTAGTGTTTTCTTGATGTATTTAATTGAGTTATAATATAAGAATCAACGTCACACACGACTTGTTTGAAGTGGTTATTGGAGGTGTATGCGCACTAAGGTCTTACTACCGGCTACGGATCATTGCTAGGTAAGTGGGGATTTAAAATCCTTGGAGTCAACTTTTTATACCTCCTCCCGTCTCCAGAGAGGGCGAAGAAGCAGCATAGCCGTTTCCCTGTTCATCGGAGGGAAACACTTTACTGCTGTTACACCCGTATTCATCCGCAAACACCTAACTCAGTGTAAACACTGACCGCTATCCAGACGAGATTAGTTCCAGCCAGTACAGTTTGTTGGGTCATTGCGATACGCAAGCCTGGCCAACATTTTAAGGCAGGAGCTGTCTCTTGGACAAGACAGTTACTGTTGATTCCCATCCTGTGTACTATGCGGGGAGCCATGGTGGATCGGCAGATTATTATTACTATTATTATTATTATTATTATTTTTTTTTTTTGATTTACAGCTTGATTCCGCACTGTATTTTCGGTACAAGTATGGAATTTTCAGCATGGATATCGGTAGCCCAAATTTCGCAGGCCGACCATAGATATCAGATGTGCGTCGGTGCGGGCTCGAACCCCGGACCATGTGCATGGTCGGCGAGAGTCCTAACCACTGTGCCACCGACGCACTTTTGAACAAAGCAAGAACTACAGTTTTAGCAGAATAAAATGGTACCATCTTTTATTTCGTTGCCTTCTCGTCAGCTGCTTACATGGCAAAGACATTATTAAATATATCTACAACAACAATTTTAACATACTTGCCATGTAAGCAGCTGACGAGAAGGCAACGAAATGAAAGATGGTACCATTTTATTCTGCTAAAACTGTAGTTCTTGCTTTCTTCAAATTCATTAAGGGAAATAAATGTATGAAATTATTATTATTGTTAGTCACCCCGAATCAAAGCGTCCGTACTAGGATGTGACATAACAACGGGGACTAAATATTTCGGGAAATTCAAATTGACTTAAATGAATAGAAATTAGCATCCGTCACAAAAGGAATGGCTCTTATCGGAACGGTTGGAATACTGTCAATCCCTAGAAAATGGGATGCAAGCATGTCCGGATAACGAGTTTGAACCACACACATGGTACATTAGGGGCACAAAGAGGTGCGCCACACAAAATCCAGCAGTGCGTTCGTGGTTTGTGTTGCTGCCCAGACACTCAGGCCAAAGTAGGTGGTTGTCTTAAGAGGCCACTCCCAGAGCTTTTGACTTGAATTGGCCTGACCGATAGCTGCTACCTTGACGTGGTAGTCGGGCTTGCATATTGCAATAACCCAACAAGCTACACTGGCTGGAACTATTGTTCCTGCAGGTCCTACCATGCCAGGAAGGTTGTTAGGATAGCTATTAGACTAAAAGCAGTTACCGGGATTGTGTAAGAATTTTTTTACACTATGCTGGGGGTCTGTGGGCGAAGTCGTACTGCTGACTAACAGGGATGTAACAGCAGTAAGGTGTTTCTCTCAGATGACTAGCATGCCATCTATTTCGTTTCTATACTCTGGAGAGAGGGGGTTAGAAAAAGTCGACCGCAACAATTGTAAATTCTAACTTACCCTGCGGTGGTCCATAACCGGCGGTAAATTTATTAATTAATCCAAGAAATCAGTTCATACGGGCCGTGAGTGATGGGCTGGCCTCAAGTAGTTGTCCCCTGGGATCTGCAGTCACGCGACACTAACCCTCTTTCTGTTTCAGGTACCCGAAGTATCAATCAACTTCCACGGTGTGGGCAGTCGGGAAGTAACAACCGCACACACACACACCTCCAAGAGCACACGAAACCTTCCTGAGCATCATTCTCCTGTACCCACATTACCTTCATCATCTTGCTTACTTGAGGTGGAATAGCTCCAGGAGCTATGTTCGTATGATTTCTGGTAACCTAAGCAGGTTCATATACTATTCGATCCATTCCTATTCTGGAGCCCTTGTACGTCATCCGTTTGGAATCAGGATTTTCCAGCTTCTCTACTTGGGTAGACCTAAGTTTATGTCCATCAATCCGGTTGTAAACGCCAGGTTTTCTCTTTTTTGAGGAACACTCTCACAGAGTGTGAGAGCGGTGAATGCGGTTTAACTAGCAGAGGCTATGGAGGCACATGGCCATATGACAGCACTTTGAGAGGAAGACAGAAAAGGCTACGCACCCACATTTCGGTGGTACGAGATCGTTTATAAGGGTATTCGACTCCTAGCTAGTGGGTCCCGGGTTAGAGTCCCGCCCCAGCTACTTCAGCCCTGTTGGGTAATTGGGTAGTGATATCAACAGTCCCTACATAATAATTGGATGACCCATAGCCTAGAGCACATGACAGACGTGTTACGGGTAAGTGAGCGCAAACGGAACACTTCACTTTACAGTGTCTCTTGGCGGCGGCCGGGAAAGAGCCAGAAGTGTGTGTATATGTATCTATAATTTAATTAGCGGGAGTAATTTCAATCTCTGTGATTTTTATGTTGTGATTCTCGTTTTCTATCTGATTTTCATTCACTTGCTTTGCTCTTTTCAAAATTTCTAATAGAACAAACCAAAGAAGGCTGGATTGGTCGAACACTGAGTGACAGTATTGAATTAAAGAAGAAACCAATCACATCACATGTTTCTAGAATGGTTGGATGTAAGTGCCTTACTGTGTGTGTGTGTGTGTGTGCACGTGTATCTGAAGCCGCATAAATGCTTTTATACCTAGAAGGAATATTATTTATCATTATTATTATTATTGTCTCATTAGTTCCTAGAGGAACATAGGGCTTCAGCTGCACGTCTCTCCATTGAGTTCGGTTCTCTAACAACCTTTTCATCGCCTGGCTCCACGTGTGCCCACATGATTTTACCTCCTCTTCACATGACCTCCTCCATGTTACCCTCGCACTGACGACCAACTCACCGCTTCCCATTCAGGTTCCACTCGAGCGATGTCCTGTCTTGGGATGTCATTTGATGGTTTTCTAAGGGTATGACCAGCCAACTCCCCTCCATTTCTGCCTGCATAATTGTTGCACAATTAGTTCCTGCTGGGTTGGTTCGTTCATTCTCAGATACCCCTGTTGCTGATCTTTTCTAGCTGGCCATCTGATCTTGAGTATTGAGCAAAGACAACTGTTAATGAAGGTCTGTAGTTTGTCTGAGGTGCTCTTTATGACGCGCAGTGCAAGTCTCTGATCTGTATAGTAAGTAGCGCTGACTTCACATTGGAGTTGAAAATCCGGATCTTATTATATTCATGCTAAGTGCAAGGTGTTGACCTCCACACAGGCTTGAGAGTGATGGAAGCTTGCTTTGCTTTCCAGATCCCCGCGTTTTGATATATATATATATATATATATATATATATATATATATATATATTATCACATCTACGTCAGTGCTGTACGAAATGATTTGATGTGAATTTATGAGTATATTTCTCAGCATGTGATTAGATTGGGATGTACTGTTCGCTATCAAATAACTCTCCTACCATATGTGCATAGACGCATTGTCATATATCGTTTGCAGAAAGCTGGAGATATTTTTGAAAGCAAGATTAGTGTGGATGGTGATGTTTGAACACGTTGTTTAGACTGATTTTGCATTTACCTTTGATTGATTATGTTCGATCGGAATACTAAGTCTGTGTCTATATGTCGGCTCCCAGTACGGAAGTTTCAACGGTGTTTAAAGGTTATCTGAAGTCATTTTGGTTAGTAGTTACTGTCAATGGGATCCAGGATTGATATTTTATCCTATTTAAGAAATCGTCACATGCATTCTCAGTGACAGGGAACACTAGGAATGTGGGAACCTCCAAATAACGAACTCCCCAAGAAGGTGGTGGGGGGGGGTGGAAGTCTTTCTCACTCAAAGTTTATAAGATTACTGGGAACGTTTCGTTGTGAAAGCTTCTTTAATTGATCCCAAGCTGAATATATGTTTCATATCCTATGTCACTAGATGCTGTGGTGTGATTGACTGAGTAATTTTCAAACAGTAGACCCCATAAGCTCATGCTTTCAACCGTCTGTAGTTTATATATCTAGATGGTATCACCTAGTTCTGTGCTAAAAGTGCATGAAGCTGTCAGTGGGTGAGTCTAAATGGTTTAATTTAATGCCTAAAACTAATAACACTAGTAGAATATATGGTACTATAAAAATACATAAACTAGGTCATCTCATAAGACCAATGGTAGATTTCAGAAATACGCCGACATATGAATAACCAAAACACTTAAGCTCTAATATTATATCCCATTGGAAATCGTTCAAACTCTGGACTGACTAATTCATATGAAATGGAAAGGAAACTAAATGACATTCAATCAGAGAATAATGAAAAAAAAATGGTTAGTTTTGACATAACTAGTCCTTATACTAATATACCAGTTAATATGGCCTTAGAAGCAGTTAAAAAAAGAATTAACTGCGAATCCGTAACTCAGTCATAGGACAAAGCTGTCCATTGAAGAAATTATTTTAGGGATTCAGTTATGCCTCACATCTACTATCTTTAAGTTCCAAGGCAAAGTATATAGACAAACAGAAGGTGTAGCAATGGGATCACCAATATCCCCTATCGTAGCAGACATATTTATGGACAGCTGGGAAAATAGTGCCCTCAATACATTTAACCCTACTCCGAAAATATGGTGGAGATATATGTGGATGACACTTTCACTCACAGTGTTAAAAACAGAACATATCTCTCTCAGGTTTCTTGACACATACACACACACAAAAGTCACTCGTGGAGGGAATAAAATTCACATTTGAATCGGAAAATGAACAAGGAGAATTAGCTATGATATTAGATTGTAAAATAAAACGAACAGAAGAAAGTAGACTGCACTCCAGCGTTTATAAGAAGTCAACGCATTCTAATATTGCATATTTAGACTTTAATTCATCTCATCCGTTAACTTTTAAGGCTGACATAGTTAAGTGTCAAACAAACCGAGGAGTAGCACTAAGTAGAACAAAAAAGACCTAAATGGTGAAATGAAACAGATAGAAGAGGCGTTGGTGTTAAATAAATAACTATCCTATAAAATTCATTAAGATTATAAAAGATCACGAGAAAAATAAAATTAATAGTGAAACCAGTAATTATAAGATAAATAAGAAAGAATATAAGGCATCTACAGTGTTACCATATAAGGCGCGTAGGGGAAACCTCTTGAGACCCTACGTAGGATTCTCAACAAAGCAGGAATTAGGGTGACATTCAAATCTACTAACTCACTCTGTAGGCTAAAGGACCCGGTGGATCCGATTAAGCAGAACACCTGCAATGATTGTGAGCTAGGTCAACTATAAAGGTCAAACTAGTAGATCGGGAGTAGTCAGATTTTAACTAAGGTTAGAATGATTGATCCCACGAAGATAAGTTACGTAAGAAAGCATTCAGCAATTGCACTGCATGCATTAACACACAACCACACAATAAGGTGAGTGAGAGAGGGTTGTAATTCTCAAAAGTAAGTAACGTAGGTAGGTGGAGAGAAAGTGATTGCTGAATGAATCTTTGTTCATGGAGTCTTCACACCCAACACATGCAATAGGGGTGACTCAATGCAAATACAAGAGATATGGAAGATATTATCACCACCAGTCAGTCAAATCAGAGGAGGATAACATTGTGACAAGTTACTTATTTTCACTATAAAAAAACTCGTCTTATTTCCCATCGGATTGTACTTGATTCTGTCTGTCTGGATTCAACATAGAACTTGGCACCGAAGTGCAGCAGTTCGAGTTGCCACGTTCCAATTGGCACACAAGGTAGACAAGAAGATGAGTGAAGAGAATCAATAGAGTTTGACAAATATAAGAGTGAAACAGAATGGGTAATTGTAGAAAGGAATATGAAAGATTACAGAGACTGAATACATCTGCGCCATTGACAACGATTTTGAGCCATGTCACCTACTGTCTCCAGCCATTGATTCCTAGAGTCCCGAGGGCCCCAACCCGGGAGTCTGCATCTCCCTACCTGACTCAGTTTAACTGTCAAGGATTTCATGGATTGATGCCATGTTTTTGTTTGGCCACCACTGGCTCTTTTCCAACCTGAACCTATATCAGCTAGCAAAGCCCGTCGGGGGAGGCGGTGGTTAGGCATGCGCACCACGTGACCTAGCCATCTTAGTCTATGTAACTTTATAGCCTCGTCGATTGGTTTTCCCTCTTTGCCCAACACTCTACGCCTAACGTCAACATTACTTATCTTGTGAAACCACCTAACGTGAGACAGAGATCGCAGACATCTATGATCGAAAGCAGTCAACCTTTTCATGTCTTCAACGCGTATTGGCCATGTTTCAGAGCCATAGAGAAGGACGGAGCGAACTGCTGAGCAGTACACACGTCCCTTGGTTGATAACCGGATGTCACGCCTACGCCAGAGATGGTGTAAGTCAGCGAAAGCAGCTCGAGCTTTTCGGATCCGTGCTGAGATTTCATCGCCAATCAGTCCGTTGGTACTTGATTGATAACACTAATATTATTTCTGAATGTACTTTATCTTACATTGAAGCAAGAAAGTTGTGTGAGTAGTGCCTTGATATGATGACTATGAGCAGCAATAAACTCTGCTCGAAACGTGGTCATCAGCTAATATTACTGTATAACAACACTGTGTGATTTTATCAAAATAAAATTCTATCCATAATAAAGTTATGCGCTACCACCAGAGTGCCCAAGTTTTATACTTATAGAGGTGTAATTCATTGTCAATTAATTGACGAGTTACATTTCGTTTCATAACCTAGATAAGTTCATCCCAGCCACCGCAGTACAGACAACACTCTTCTCTACTGCAATAACCTAAAAGTCTTTATCTTTCTCCAATTTTATTTCTTTAAATACTTTTTTTTAAAAATAGCCCCAGATTATGACGCCACACCAAAATTCAAAATAGTCCGTCAGTCACAACCATATGGTACACTGTCTGGAGATGCTGGCCTCTTGTTCATTGCCTATGCAGCCGATACAAAGAATTTCGACTATATGTTAGATCGTATGACCGGTGACAGTCCTGATGGCAAGCATGATGATGTTATGCGTTTCACTAAATGCGTGAGTGGCAATTATTGGTATTTCCCGAGTGGAGCTGAATTCGATCGTTTGGTTAGCAGTGGTGGAAGCGGTCGACGTGGATTTTGGTGATTCACACAGACACAGACACACACACAAACAGTCGATTTTCCAACTTTCGTGTTGTTGCCTTGCTTATCTGATCTCATTTGCTTTCTTTATTTCTTTCTGTCTTTCTTTTCCGCAATTAGCAGTCATTAATCATGAATTAAAAATTTTTATAAATTTGTAATAATTGTGTTTTATTGCGTTTGAAAACTACTCCGATGGAGGCGAATATAACTACTCCCTGTCTGTGCATAGGGCGTAACTAATATGATGTTAATTTGACGAAGTTAAAAATAAAACACGGGGATCTAACCGTACCATCGTATGAATTACCTTGGGGGTGGGGTGACTATTCAAAAGAAAGCCAAATTAATTTACTGACTGACTGGTTTCAACATAGAACTTTGCTGCACAGATGTGCGGCAGTTCGAGTTGTCACACTTCCTCCATGTCTGTCTATCTGTCTGTTTTCGACATAGAACTTTGCATGGATGTGTGCGGCAGTTCGAGTCACCACACTCCCTCCTTGTAGCGCACAAAGCAAGAGAAGAAAGTAGAAGAAATGCATAATAGACAGACAGTAGACAGGGATATGAGACAAAAGGAATAGTAGTAACGAAGAACAGTATAATTTCATTGGAAAGGAGGAGATGCATCTGTGCTAGACATTGAGAACGATGAGTTTGCGCCATATCACCGATTGTTTTCAGCCATTAGCTTTTACCGTCCCCAGAACCCCAACTAGTCAGGAAGTCTACACCTTCCTACGTGACTGGCATAAACTAACTGTTGTGGATTTTATTGACCAATGAGGCCATGGATTTGGTTTGACCGCCGCTAGTTCTTTTCCACCCTGACCTTATGTCAGCTAACATTGCCAGTAGTTAAGGAAGGCGACAGCTATGCTAGACATGCGTAACACACATATCCTAACCATCTCAGTCGATGTAATTTCACAGCCTCGTTGTCGATTGATTTCTCCTCCCACCTACCTAGCACTCGACCGGTGCCTAACCTCAATATTGCTCACCTTATTATACCACTTCACACGGGAGATGGACCGCAGGCACCTATGATCAAAGACAGTTAATCCTTTCATGTCTTCCACTCTCAGTGGTCAGGTTTCACAACCATAAAGGAAGTCTCACAGCCATAAAGGTTCCTTCCATGTAGCACACAAAGCAAGAGAAGAGAGAGAGAGAGGTAATAGAGAGAAATGTGAGCTAGGGAAAAAGATTAGTAATATAGGAGAACAATAGACTTTTATTGCATATTATAAATCACATGGAGTAAATGCATCTGCGCTAGCCAGCCTTTGGGAACGATCATTTTAAACCATATCACTAACTGTTTCTAGCCTCCATTGGTTTTTACCATCCCAAGGACCTCAAACAGGAAGCCAGTTGATTTAAACTAACTGTTGTGGATTTCATTGACCGATGACTGACCATGTTTCGGTTTGACCATTACTATCATCTAGCTCTTCTTCAACCTGATCAATTCTATGTCAAATCACATTGGCCGTTGAGGAAGATGATCGATGGCTGGGAATGCATAACACAACACATGTGCTTACCATCTCAATCGATGTAAATTCACAACCTCATCGATTGATTCCCCGCCCCGCCCCCCCTCCCCACTTCTACTTGCCTAGCACTCGACCGATGCCTAACCTCAATATTGCTCACCTGAATATGTAACAACAAAAGACAAGGGCCAGGCAACAGATCGTTTATTAAGGAAATCAACACATATTTATAGATTTTATAATGTACATATTATAGATTATTGTTAGCAGAAAAACACAGTCTTCTGATTGGTGGTTATTTCTCACTGAAAGTTAACCTTGCATCTCTCTTTGTGGCTGTTTCTTGAATGTCAGATCATGTATATGTTAACTGTATTCGCCTACGCAAAGCCTTTCTTCTCATTTTCCTCATGACCAATATTGAGGACATAAACATTGATGTAAATTACTGTCCACCAGTTTTGACTAACAGCCAACTCTCACCACAAATATACCACCTAACACAGGAGATAGGGCACAGACACATATGATCAAAGACAGCCGGTTAACCAACTTTTTGAGTCTTCCAAGTTAATTTAGTTGATAGAAACTCAGTATATTCATAAAAACAAGGCCTAAACAAGATGTCTTTCAATGAGAATGAATTTGAGTTGTTCATAGGAATTTCACCGTTTCTCTAAGTGGCTATCGTTTTAGATGAGGAACTGGAGTTATGAGTTAACGTTAGACATTAGAGTTGGGATTTAGACAGAATTTTTCTTCATTCTGTCTGAAGAATGTGAACAGCATTTGTTAACTAACTGACTGCCTACCTGCTTCAACATACAAATTTGCACAGAAGTCCAGCAGTTCAGGTTTCCACACTAAATTTATCACACAAAGACAGAGAAAAGAGATGAATACATCTTCAAAAGAAGCGTAATGAACGGAAGTAAATGAGAGAAAGAAACAGTCACGTACAAGAATACCAGGGTTTAATGGATATGGGTGCCATCATTGAAAAGGATTTTGAGGCATGTCGCCGATAGTCTGAAACCATTGGTTATGGGACCTGAAACAGGCTAGCTAAAGCCATATGTCAAAGAGTTTGTGGACTGACATCAGGTTTTGATTTCATTATCTGTAAGTCACTTCCGACCTACTCCTGTGTCAATTGACATTACTTGTTGGTGGAGGTGGTGAGTTGGCGTACGGAACATGCGTCGTAGTCATCTCAATCGATGTAGCGTCATAACCTTATTGATTGACCTATCCTCCTTGCCTAAGACTTTACACCTAACCTCAATATTACTCACTGTATTATGCGACATAACACAGAAGGTCGAATGTAAATATCTTTGGTGAAAGACATGTAATCTTTTCATATCTTCCGTCCCCAATGACCATGTGTCGCGGATACAAAGATGGAAAGAAAGAACTACTATGCAGTATATGCGTCCTTTAATTAATAGCGGTTGTTTCGTCCTTGTCGATGACTCATCGGCAGTACACACTCACAGGAGTTCGAATCCAGGACGTTCCACTTACAAGGCAAGCTTTTAGACCATTCCAGTCATTGGCACCCGACTCAATGACCTGTGGATTCTAACTTATACCATTTCGTGATTATAGCACGAACCGAGTGAGTGCGTACTGCCGAAGAGTCCCACGTTAGGATGAAACAAGTAGTGTCAATTTGTAGTCAAGACCAAAGTAGACTGTTTGGGTGCCTGAAGGCCATCGATTCGCTGGTCCCCTTTGTTCATATCATATGAAGCTGATTGATAACAGAAATAAATTGCTTGTGAAGCCTAAAGATATTATTAGAAGCTTCATACAATTCTTCCACTTAGTAAACTTGGGCGTCGGTGACTTAGCGGTAGGACGCTCGCCAATCACGCATGTTGTCCGGGGTTCGATCCCCGACAGATACACCCATTTACCTCGTTAAACAGGCGATAAGACCGGTAGAGAGGGAAGGCTGGGCGTGATGCTAGTAACCCCACACTGTAAAAATAAACACCGCTGCTACGGAAACTTCAGACCTCTGGCTTGAATCCCCGTCTTCCACTGGAAAAGTAATGGAGTAAAATAAAAAATGGAAAAACAGTAAACTTGGACAGAACGAAAACAACAAACGTGTTCCTGCATAATATGAGCTCCTTGTTTATAATTTCGAGGACCCTTCTTAATTGGTTATAACCTGAACAATACGAGACAATACATAGATTAAAAACGAAGATTCAAACATACTTTTTTCAAATGATGACAAACACCAATTGAGATAAGAGGTATATACAAGTGACATAAGTGGCGGATAATGTAATTTCTTAAATTAAGAAACTTTTTCTGTGCACATAAATCAGGATTTTCCAGTCGAATCGCTAAATCCTCAGCAGTGAAAGGTAAACGGAAGCTTATTGTTTGCTGAAGGTTTCTTTTATCTTTGTAGATAGATAACTTTGAATAGATTTTCTTTGAATACTGAGTAGCCAGTGTTGAATTTATATTCATTCATAGCACTTTGTAACGACCCACTGTTATCTTTTTGGGCAAAGTTAAACTTTAAGCACCACTAACTACCACCAATCAGCGAATGACCTTGAACGCACCAATCACGCGAAAGAGGCATTTTTGGCTTCGGAGCACATATATTTATCTAAAAAAAATGTATAAAACTGTTACAGAGGATACCTTTCTCTCACATCTTATAAAAATATCTCCCAGTTTAGCATAGGCGTATCAATGGAAAAGTTATACCCCATCCTAAGCATATATTCATCTAAATGACTATAAATGACATCGCCTTGTGAACCACTAATGGCTCTAACGCTGTATTTTAACCTTCCCCAAAAGCCTTCAATAGAATTAGTGTGTGTCCCTGTAATGCGATCCAAAAAAGCATTAGAATGGTTGACTCTCTGGTGAATATATCCAACAGACGACAAGCAGTTGGTCCACCGAGGGAGAGGGCTCTCGAGTGGTTGCGTCACAGGTTGATCCTGCATGCCGTTCTTGTCTCGCAAGAAGCAAGGATGCGTGTGTTTTGTTCTCCTGAAAACCAATACTTAGTCAATGGGTGTATCGTGGTGTGAATCCCGACCGAAAGCTGCTACCTTGACGTGGTGGTCCGGCTTGAACACCGCAATGACCTAATCAAGCTATACTGGCTGAGACTTATGTCTCTTGAGGTCGTACCATGCCAGGAAGGTTGTTTGGATAGCGGTTAAACAAAAAGCAGCTACCCAATCCAACATCATGATCAATACAAAATCACAAAATTTCATGCCGGATCGGCCGTGGCCCGGATTAACAACGACCGCGCTTCCTGCTGCCGTGTCACAGGGCAGGAGTGATAGGTATGCTACTGAGACACACCAAACAAAAGAGAACGAACAAAAACAGGCCGCGTGTGACCGGCCTGGCCAAGCAGTTGTCCCCTAGGCTCTGGGGTCACGCAACCAACTTCCACGGTGTGGGCAGCCGGGAAGTAACAATCGCCCTCACAATCCGAAACGCACGCGAAACCTCTCTGTTACTCACTCATCTTTGTTTTCATCTTCATCTCTATCATCTTGCCTTCCTTCAACTGATGCAACTCCTCGACTTAATAGCTCTCCACTTCCTCTCCACTTTGCGTCCACTAAAAACGATGGAAGCCAAAAAACCACCACCGACAGCCTCTTAGAGCCGCGCCACCAATTTCATATAGGAGCTCTTAATGTTAGGACACTTTGCCAAATAGGACAACAAGCATCACTAGCCAAGACCCTGGCATCACGAGCCATTGATGTATGCTGTGTTT